ATATTTTTCATTAATATCGAGATTTTAACAACTCTTTGTGTCTTTCAAAACTACGGATTTTATAAGATAGTATCATGACAAGCGAACGGATAATGGATTGTTTAGAAATAAAAAAGTAAAACAATTCAATTATATGTATTAAAAATAATTCTATGATAAAGATGAGGTAAGTGTGCATATTAAATTGTTAAGTTTGTATATACCAATATTTAAGTTTTCCATCTATCTTATAAATGAGATTTTTCACTGTGTATATTATATTAAAATATAATTTCTTATCAAAATTATAAATAAACTATTTTTTAAATAAAAAATGATTATTTTTTAGTATAAATAATTCTCTAATATTTAAATAGTAGTGTATGTAACAAAAAAAAATATAATTGATTTCCTTATTCCATGCACAGGTTTTAAATTAGTAACTAGTTATAAGTAAGACTTAGATGAAATTTTTTAGATGAAATTTTCTAAGTAAAATTCGCACAATTCTCTATTAAAAATGATAAAATAAATGTTAATAAAATTTTCAACCGATATATTGTAAAGAAATCCAAACCCATAGATTGTCATCAATCCTAGTACCATTTTTCAGCAGCTGGTTAAAGATGGTTGAATTTTTTTCCTTTCTGATATTCCATTTCCATTGGAAGAGAACAAAAAATTCATTATTCATTCCTAGATAAAAAAGCTTTGTGACCAATTTTCACATTGTACAATGAACAATAAAAGAAATGAAATGTTATTCTCCCAAAAAATAGAGTTTTGAAAGTAAGGTAGAGACCGGTCATATAGATCTAGCACCAAAAAGAGTGATTGGGATATTTGATACCCCTTGAAGTCATGGTCCTCCATCTCAAATAAATTCATAACTGGGAACCCTTTATGATTTTTGTAGTGAATAATAACTGTTTAGTTCTTACACTTGGAAAAAAGAAATTTTTTAGTTCTTGCTTTCCAGACATTCACTAATTTTCTCAAAATACAATAATTGATCAAATTAATTTGACATTAGTGCCAAAATTTCTACCAGAACTTAAGAAACAAAACTTTCCATAATCTACATTTTCAAAAAAAAAATGTTACCAGGATAAAACATGACTTCTGTGATGATTTCAACAGTCAAATTCTGATAGTTTGACAGTGATGACCATAATTCAATCTCCTTTTATCATTGTTGGATTTCATGTATAGTTATTTTTATTCACTAAACATACCTAGATTAACAGGCCTCAGTGTTATATGTTTATGCTACACTAGAAACCATGCTTCCAGTTTTTTGTGTTTGGAACAACACTGCCTGAATACTTGGTAACCAGCTCAATCCTGTGAAGTATTTCACAAATCCAGGTTTGTCTCTCGAAATGTCTTTCATTATTCAGTCTGGCTCCGTTTTAAAGACCGTAAAGGATAGCTATCAAGTTGATTTGACTAGAAACCTAGCGGACCACGACGAATCTTATCTGCATACACGTTCAAAGATATTTATTCCACCAAGGAAAAAACAAAAAGAAACTGAATCTGGTTCTCCACCAATTTTCTTGCGGAATCGAATGTCTAAATGATGAGAGTATAAAACTAGCTTACTCACCACTCCTGTCTTGCTTTTTTTGTTTTTTTTTTGGTATTTGACGTCATTGCATTTAAACATTGGTTACTGAAACTAAATGTTCAGCATTCTACTAATAAATTACGTGCTTATGGGCTCCTTTCACTGTTTCCATCCCATCCTTAAAGCCTTAAGTCTTGATTTTATTGCACACACCAGTCGACGAAATTTAACAATCCACAAGCAGAAGCAATGGCAAGAAGAGAGCGATGCAGTGGATGTGGGCTGTGCCTGATGGTTCCACTGGAGGCACAAACTATTCGTTGTGCTGTGTGCCAAGCCATTACCAATACCATCACCCCAGTTACAAGTAATGCTCGGCCCAATGGCCATTGGAGCTATGTCCATGACTCATTACTAGGACCAGGCCGGACCAGGATCTTTATAAGTAGTATTTTTATATTATTAGTTTTATGCTTGTTCTTGTTCAGTTAGGTTATTGTCAGTGTCCAGCGGCTTGGTTATGATAGCTATCCTGGGTCAGGAATGTATGGAATTCCATATGTGTATGCTCCTCATCAGCGACCTCCGCAGCCATGACCTCCCCTATCTTTTGTTTCAGTGCACGGAAGGAAAAGAGCACTTCTTTGTGGTGTGAATTAACATGGCAAGAGTTACAGGCTAGGGGAAAGTACCAATGATGTCAAATGTATGAGGTACCTTCTTGTCGAGAAACTGGGGTTTCCTAATGACTCTATTCTCATGCTCACAGATGCTGTACCAAATTTTTTTCCTTTCAACTCTTTTTCTAGTAATCAATTCCATTTTGTTTCTGTTAACTCTGCTTCAATTAATCTGCAGAAGAAGAGATAGACCTTTTCAAGATCCCAACGAAACAGAATATCCGGAAAGCCCTGAGATTATAACCAGTCAGGGGACTCGTTGGTGTTTCACTTCCCTGGTCATGGCACACGGCAGATTGATTATAACCATGATGAGGTCGATGGATACGACAAAGCCTTGTGCCTTCTCGATCATGAGACTGAAGGGAATATAATCGATGATGAAATTAATGACACCATTGTAAGGCCACTGCCTTGAGGAGCCACACTGCATGCAATCATTGATGCCTGCTACAGTGGAACTGTTCTTGATCTGCATTTTGTTTTCAGGATGAACAAGTCAGTTATTTTTAAGTTTCCTTTGCACGAGCTATTATTCAATTTAATCTTTAATTGTCACGCTTCATTGATATCCAGTTCATCATTGTCCTATAAACTTCCTTCTTCCAGAATATCCACTTCATCTTGTCTCCATTCTGTCTTCAATTATGTAGGGAAGGGTTCTATATATGGGAAGATCAAAGAAACCCCTTATTTTGCAAGTTTGGAACCTCCTTTTCTAGTTTAAATTGTTAACATTGAAGTTATGTCTTAGCTACAATTAGAAAATAAACATTAACAAAGAAAGAAGTAGAGGAAAAAACCCTTTAACACATTAAACCTGACTAATATCATTAGCTTAGATTGTTGTTTGAATTGTTTTCTTTAGGCTTTCACTGGAAACAGTACCAGCTTTAGGCTTTCACTGGAAACAGTACCAGGACGGGTGCCATGACATTCAGCTTAATCCAAGCTCTGCAAAACAAACCTGGATTGACGTATGGGCGCTTGCTTAATGCAATGAGCAATGTAATTCGTGATGTTAAAGCTGGTTTGCGCCTACTTGGTCCAATTGCAGCTCTCATTAACAAAGTTTTGTTTGGGACAACACAGGTATTCCTCTATACCTAATGACAACTGAATAAATATAATTGAAAAGTTGAAAAGAGTTTTAGATTGAAAACAAAGAATTCTTGATTTGCAGGAGCCACAGCTATCTACATCAGAGAAATTTGACATCTACTCAAAGCAACTTGTGCTGCAGTAATTTCTGTTGTTCTTACAAAATTGCCTACAACCAAATTGCCTACAACCATTAGCTTTGTAATCAGTAAAACAATTAAAATGATTATAAGTAACCTCTGCAATAGATCTCATGATTGCAAGGAATTTGCCAAGACTTGTAATAAACGGTAGAATTATAGTACCATTTAATGGGTTCATATCCATGTGTACAACTTAATTATCATCCTGCTGATAAGTAGACTTATTATTGTATTACACAAGATATTCTAGTTTACATCTACAATTGAGGAACAAGAGCTTGCGAGAAGTGGTACACCAGCGAACATACGAGGCAAGAAGTTTGGGCCAGTCGGAGATTGGGCAATATGTGAAGTGGTGAAGGGAGAGTACTTGTTCTTCTTGTTCTAGCTTTTCTATGGTCACTTCCAATACCGTCTCTAGCTCACCCCTTTCACTTGTTCTGAGCATTGGCACATCAGTGCCATTGCTAGCTCTGCACAGCAATGGCAACCATGACGTTAGCATCTTCATCTTTGTTTGCCTGTGTCTCTCTTTGTTGCCTTCTTCAGTCATTTCCACTTCGAATCCCATATCCTTGGCTTGTTTGAATAAGAACGCCGCATGTTTGAATAATTAAGCAAAAAAGTAAGGAACAACAATCTTAAATTTTCAAGAATTGGAATACAGTCAGATAAATAAATAACTGTGGCAATCATAAGTTTAAACTAGAACCTCCCAATTTCATTCATCAAATTATCACAAACTTTCAATCGGTTCCTTCAATGGAGACCTGCCAATGAATTGGATCATGATCTTTACTGTCATGATTCAACAAATATGTACAATTAGCGTTGGTTGCAACTATTTTGAAACACTGTGAAATGAAGAAACTGCCCATTAAATTTCATCACTTATAATAAGACGCTTATTCCAAATACTAACCCAAGTCCTAATAAACAGTCCGTAAGATCTATATGCAACCTCTTCGCATTTCCAGCAATAATAGAGCTTGTGATATTTACTGGTTGAAGATCTCGAATGTGATATTTCCTCCATAATGATTTTACAATTACAATAAATTTAGCATTTACATAAATTTTTTAGTAATAATTTGTACTTGTCTTTAGGTTATAAATGTCAAATATGGGAAGCGTTGCATCATCCAAATATACATTTTCACTGTAAAAACATCTATTGAAAATTTTTTTTTTGTTTAAGTTTGAATATCAAACTTTTAAATTGAAAAATTATTTCTTTTTTATTGTTAATAAAAAATAATTGAAAATATGGATTTTTTTTGTTTTATTAAACCTAAATATGAGTTTTACTAAAATTTTAAAATGTGTTATCTTTATATATATATATATATATATATATTTATTATTTTCATGTGGTATTATCATATATGTCAAATCTAATTACATATCTAAATTTTGGCTTATAAAGTTGTTAAAGAAAAAGTTAATATTCTTTTACATACATATATATATATATATATATTCACGCATATATAATAATAAGACACGGATGCAAGTAAGGAATGACCCTTTGCCTTGGCTTTGCCCTGGCCCTTTTCTCTCTGTTCAATGTTCCATTAAACTTCAAACAACAAGTTTCCTCCCGGAGGCAGAGGTTTGCTTAGCCTAATTCAGGCTGCTAAATGCTAAAGGGTGATATGGAAATTAGAATAGTCTGCCAGCGTTGCAGGCAAAAGTTTTCAGCATCAACCAATACTGAAACAGTTATTTGCCTGCATTGCCATGCGGTAAATCAAAATCGAACAATAAGGAAACAATCATCTTCCCAAGAGCATGGCAGGATAAGTCCTCCATTGATAGGTAACTCTATGAGGGAAAAGCTGAAGAAAATTCTGCACTGTAGCACCCTGAAACCTGCTGCTTCACGGTCATCATCGACAAATTACTCTACCCTTTGTGCTTTGGACAACTCTGGCGTTTCGGCGAAGAAACGAGCGGTGCTTTGCGGTGTTAGCTACAAGAAGTGGAAGTATAAGCTCAAGGGGACCATAAACGATGTGTTAAACATGAAAGATTTGTTGATTCAAAAGTATGAATTTCGAGAGGAAAATATTCTGGTGCTTACAGGTATTTATTATCAGCCTTAGTGCTTGTTTTAGCATTTGCTATGTTTTGTGCTCTTAACTTCTTGCATTGGTCCAAGGAAAATCAAGATTCAATATAGAAGTATGAGTTTAAAATTATATACAATTGCATGATGGATGCATTTATATAGCACCCTACAGTGCAATTGGCTTCAGTGGCCTTCGTATATGAAAAATAAAGATATTTTTTAATTATGGATTATATTTAGCGGTGCAGTCCAATGAAATACACAATATCATCACAATGTTACATTTTCATCCAAATATATATCTTTATCATTGACTTTAATCTTACCTTTACGTTATCCAATCTCTTTACCACAACTGTTTTTCATCTCACCAAATCTCATCTAGTTGCCACCCATCAAATTGGACCCTTAATATATTTTACACCAAGCAAGTTCGATTGATTCTCGTTAATTTGTTAAAACCAATATCTATTAAAACTGCAGAGAAACAGTCAGACGCCCGACTTATCCCAACAAAGGCAAACATCGAGAATTGCTTGAACTGGTTGGTGAAGGGGTGCCGGTCTGGAGATTCACTGGTGTTCTTTTACTCCGGACATGGCTTACGGCAGCCCAATTTTAATAATGATGAAAGAGATGGGTTTGACGAAACCATCTGTCCGGTTGATTTTCTGAAAGAAGGCATGATCCTCGATGATGACATTTACGCCACCATTGTTAAGCCGCTGCCAGAGGGTGTCACCCTTCATGCCATTATTGATGCTTGCCATAGTGGAACTGTTCTTGATCTAGAGCACGTCTATGATAGAGAAAAGTGAGTTTCACATAAAGCAACCATTTTTTTTTCCTTATCCCTTATAAAAAATTTATCTACTTTGCTTTTGTAATGATACTTGAAATTTTTTATCTGGGGGTTATCAGGGGAAAGTGGATTGATAACAGTCCTCCATCAGGTGTGAGGAAACAAACAAGTGGTGGCAAAGCATATTCTATCAGTGCTTGCCAAGATAACCAGGTTGCTACTGACACATCGGTAAGAAACTCCTAATTGGTTTTATATTTAATGCATCCTTAGTATATAAATGTTATAATTGCTTTTATATTAGATATATTATCAATGTATAAATGTTATATATGATTAGTTAACTAGACAATAACCTCTTATAAAAAATAATTTTAAATATATTTTTAAAATTAAATGTATTTATTGTTTAAAATTTTTAAAATTTTAAATTAATTTTTTATGAAATGTCATTGATTTATTGACAACATATTGACTGTGTATCAAATGACCCCTTCTCATTCTTTTATTCTTTGATCTATGGAGGAAAATGAATTTAAACTTCCAACATAGATAAAGAAGTACCAAGATTCCTTTCCATTTGTTTTTCTTTTCAATTAAAGAGTTAATCATGTAATTGGCACTCGACTGAGGTATTTATGAAACACATGATGTGTTTTTACTGATTATTTTTAGATATGAAATTCATTTGATTAACAATATCAGTCTAGCTATAAGCAAAAATCGAATACTTTAATTAAGAATTTTAAAATTTAAGTATCAAATAAAAAATTTACCTATAATTCAGGTACTAAATATGTAACTAATCATAAACTAAATTAAGAATTTTATTTTTAAGTTGGATCTCTATGCGAAACCCATAAATCATCCGGTAATCTTCAAAACCTAATAAAGAAAATATAAAACTTACAAAGTCACAGTGCATGTTTGCTTTTAGAAATTAAAAAAATATATATATGTATCTCTTTTGCATTAAAATATATATTTTTTAGACTAATTTATTTTTTTGCAGCATACAAATATTCCTGGTAAATAGTTCATAAAAAAAATATATATGTGCAGGCTTTTAGTTCCAAGTCAATGTATGGTGCAATGACGTTTATTTTAATAGAAGTTGTGAGAGGAAGGCCGAGTATAACATACGGGGAATTACTTGACCGGATGCAAGAGCGAATTGAACAAGCAAACCAACAAGGGTGCTTCGGTGGTTCAAGAATATTAAGCAGAATTTTTGGCCCCAATCTCACACAGGTAACCTCTCTCATAAACTTTGGATAATTGGCCTCAAGCACTCTACACGGCAAAAAAAAAAAAAAAATTCACATTTTGAGGATATTTAAGCTCCATATGCAATTGCATGTATCAATCCTTGTGTTGAAAGAGTCAATTTTTCTCTCTTTCTCGCAAAAATTTCACACATGCTTCTTGATTGTGTACAGAAGCCTCTACTTTCAGCTTCTGAAGAGTTTCCAGTTTACGAGAGGACATTTGAACTATAACTGATGCGTAGTGGATCCCCTATTGAAGCAACGGATGCCATGGATTTTGCGAGGAGTGTTAGAGAGCAGAAGCTTTCATTCAATGTCGATCTTCAAGCAATACTGTGATCAAGTTCTCATGGTTAATGGATACCTTTGTACAATGTATGCTCGACATCTTGGTTTCTCTGGCACGATAACAGAAATAAACATCTAAATTATGATAACAACAAGAGTTTTTATTATTTAAAGAATAGTTACCAGGAAATAAACAGTTTAAATTAGATTTATCAATAAAAGAGATGAAAAACTACGAAATTAAGGAATATGAAAAGAAGGGTTGAAGATGGTACTGCTGCCATCGATTTGTTGTTAGATTGGTGCCAAGATCTTCCTCATACAGTTTTGATGTAAGAAAAAAAATATCGAGAGAGATGATCGTTTTGCATCTGCCTCTTGAAAATTTGTAATATTGAGTAGAATGGTCTGATCCTTGTAAAAATAATGTCCATGCAAAGGGTAGCAACTGTGTCTGTAATAAAGAAACATTTTGTCTCCACCTGCTCTTACTCTGTATCTACAAAACAATATCTCTCCAAAACAGAAGCCATAACTCTCTCCCCTAAAATCTTCCCAGAATTCTGCTCTTATTTGGAGTAGTAGGATTTCTATGGTAGCCAATCATGCAGGCTAATATAGGAGGACGGCATATGAGGTTTTTTCTTTTTTTTTTTTTAATTTTTTATTTTTACCAAAATATAAAGAGGAATTGGAGATATCAAATTGTCAAAGCAGATCCATTATTGGAGAGTCACATTTTAAATGGACTTCCAATACAATAGGGAATATAATTCTCTAGAGAAAACTTCTTATGTTTTATTATGTTTTATTCTAACCATAGGAATTTGATATACTATTTGACTTTTGTATATTCTTTTATGAAATACAAAAGTTTATATTTTTATATTTCTCCTCTTATATACATACTTATATATATCCCATGCACCCATTATAATGATAACCTTAGAGACTTTTGTGGTTGTGCTGTTCTTTTAGAAAGGAAATTTATTTTTGTTTTTTATAATATAAAATCTAATAAATTAAAATATAAAAGAAATTATCCCATTCATCACTAAAATTTTTAAATTTTATAGGCAAAATTAATAAAAGTACCATATCTTTTAAAGCATATTAAAAAAAAAAAAATTATTCTACTTGTGAATTAAAAGAATTTCACTAAAATATAAATGCTTGATAATTTTGTTGGTTAATTTGGATAGATTCGTCATTGATTTTTTAACTCTTAAAAGCGGTTTCATGCGAAGCATATACATCTTGGATAAAACTTACATGAAGTTTTTTAAGTGAATTTTACAAAATTTCTTCTTAAAATAATTTAATAAAAAATTTAAATTGATAGATTGATAGAGTTTATCGTAAAAATTAATAATATATATAAAAAATTATTAAAAAAATTATTTATAATTTAAATTTGATCAATATTCATTTAACATAAAAATTTTGTCAATATTTTTACCAAAAATATTTGTCTAAAAATATATATAAATTTTTTTTAAAATTTTTTTAAATGTTACACACTTAATTTATATAACAAAATTTTTTAATTTTTATTTTATTTTTTATTTCATCGTTTTTAGTAGAAAACTTCGTGAATTTCACAATTTCGTGTGTCTTTTCCTATATACCTCTGCATATTAAAGCTTCTCCACTATTGTAGCCGACTGTAAAAGCAAAAATTAATGAAATTTGTAACAGTAATGGAAGTCGGAAGAAACATAACGTGCTTTCGATGCAGGCAAAAATTGGCTGTGAAAGCAAGAATCAAAGGTGCAGGGATTGTGTGTCCTTCGTGCAGAAACGTTCTTTCAATTCCGAACGAGGAGCAGCATCAAGAACTGCGCAGCCGAATAAGAAGCTTCGTTAGCCATATGAAAAGTAAGATGCATCAGGGTACCGTAACTCCTTCCTTAAATTACGAGCCCTCTGGTCGTAACCCGATGAGATCAAGCAAGCGTGCAGTACTGTGCGGAATTGCTTACATTAATAGGAAGCATTACAAGCTTAAAGGAACTGTTAACAACGTAAGAATATGAGAGATTTGTTGATTGCTAGATTTGGTTACCCCAGAGAACGCATTCGTGTTCTAACCGGTATGTTACTGCTACTAATTATTCTATTATATGAATCCAGAATCCCACCAGATTGTCATGGTTAGATTAAAAACTGCAGACCAACGATTTATACCAACGAGGATTCTTTGAGATGGCTGGTGAATGACTGCCAACAGGGGCATTCACTGGTGTTCTTCTACTCTGGACATGGCTCACGACAACCTGATGAGTCTGATGATGGGTTCAGCGAAACCATCTGTCCTGTTGATTTTGAAAATGCGGGCATGATCCAAGATGATGATCTTAATTCCCTTATCGTTCGTCCTATACTCCTATCAAGAACACCGTCACGCTTCATGGCCATAATTGATGCTTGTCATAGCGGAACCATTTTAGATCTTCCGCACGTACTTCAGTCCAGAGTAAGCCTATCTTTTCTTGCAAACTTTATCTTCAATTTTTTTTTTTAAAAGGTTGCTTCTATCCAAATTAATAATCTAATTTTAGACCAAAATACTGTACCCAAATTTTATCTTCAAAAAAAATTATTTTTTTCCTATCATAAGAAAGAAGATCAAATAAATGTTCTGCTCTCTAATTTGAACGAATCCAAGGAACATTTTCCATTTTGAAAGGGAAAGGGCACTATACTCAAAGTCAAACTACCCTTTAATACCCTAATTTTTCATTGATCGAATCAAACAGGAAAAAATGGAAAGACAATAGTCCTCCATCGGGTGTCGACAAAAGTACAAATGGTGGATTAGCTATCTCTATCAGTGCTTGTCTAGAAAACCAAGCCGCTGTTGATACCCCCTGTAAGTGAAGATACTTAATTCGCTTTCATTTTTCAAATACACATTTCCATGTGATTTGATTCGTAATTAAAATTTTAAGTTCCTATGTTACGATTTACTTGGCTTATCCTTCTGACACATGAATGCAGGCCTTCAATGGCCAGATGAACGGTGCTCTGACCTACCTTTTGGCAGAGGTTCTGGAGAAATTATCCGGCCCAACATACGGTGACCTATTTGATTTAATCCATTAGACCTTTGATAACGTTAATCAAGGATGCCTTGATAATACAAGAATCTTGAGAAGTATCTTTGATTACAGATTATCTCAGGTCAGTTTGTCTCATTAACAGATTTTTATTTCATAACTAACCATAATATTATGAATCTTCTGCATCAGAATTCTTATAAAATTATAAACAGACCATTGATTCATTTAACAAAGATGACTATATAATTTTTGGATGTATTGTGGGATACTACCACCATGGTTCTATATAATGTCAAGGGTTTGAAAATAATGAATGTTTTGTTGATTGGTTGAGGGATTCATAATCTCTGTATAATTGCCCACAAGTGATGTGATCAATCTTTTTTTTTTTTTACTTGAAAGGAAAAAAGGAAAGGAAAAAAAATTGTAGAACGTGCATCCAGAGGCATATATATGATCAAATTAAGCCTTGGCGTGGAAAAATCATGTTACTCACTTCTTTTCTTTCTCTCTTTTTTTTTTTTTTTTTTGTTTTTTCAAATGCAACGTAATTTTGTTGATATGGTAACAGAGTCAACAAGTCAAGGTAACTTCTCTTCTACTGAGTTGCATCCCTTGCTAGCCCGTGTAGAGGGGAAGCAAGGGCGCCTAGGTTTTTGATTCTTCATTCACAAGTGGCCACACAATTTACAACTTTGTCTTCAATCGGGTTATTTCTCAATGAACTTCTCCAGTCTTTTTACAATTCCGTTGTGCTAAATTTCAAGAGTTTCTTGCCATTTTCGATTGGAAATTAAAGGTGTCAGGTAGATTACATTTGATAATTTAAAATATGATACGATGATATAATATAAAAATGATATAAAAAAAATACGAAAGTGAAATAATTTAAAATTTTAATAAATACCATATATGGATTTGATAAAATAAAAAAAAATTTCATATTTTTATATTGATACGAATTATAACATATAATTTTCATATAAAATAAATATAAATATATAAATTATTAGTATTTAAATGATACAAATACACGAATTATCAAACTTATATATAGTTGTAAATTATTATGTTGCAAGCTCAAATGAAGCAGTGACCCATATCTAATTATAGGCAAGACTTAGATAAAATTCTTTAAATGAAGTTTTTTATGTAAGATTCCTAAAGTTATTTATTAAAAACAATTCAATAAAAACATTAATAAAAATTTTAAATTTGATATATTGTAAAAAAAAATCCAAGCTGATAAATTGTCATCAATCTTAGCACCATTTTTTTCAGCGGCTAGTTAAAGATGGTTGAATGTTTTCCTTTTTGATATTCCCTTTCCATTGGAGGAGAACAAAAAATTCATTGTTCATTCCAAAATAAGAAGGCTTTGTGACCAATTTTCAAATTGTACAATGAACAATAAAAGAAATGAAATGTTATTTTCCCAAAAGAATAAAGTTTTGAAAGCAAGGTAGAGACCGTTCATCTAGATTTAGCCCAAAAAAGAGTGATGGGGGTATTTGATACCCCCCTGAAGTCATGGTCCTCCATCTCAGGTAAATTCATAGGTAGGAACCCTTTACATTATGATTCTTGTAGCGACTAATAACCGTTTAATTCTTACAATTGGAAAAAGGAAAGGTTTTAGTTCTTGCTTTCCAGACATTCAACAATTTTCTCAAAATACAATAATTGATCAAATTAATTTGACATTAGTGCCAAAATTTCTACCAGAACTTAAGAAACAAAACTTTCCATGATCTACATTTTGAAAAAAAAAAGAAAAAGGTGTTACCAGGACAAGACATGACTTCTGTGAAGATTTCTAGAGTCAAATTCTGAGAGTTTGACAGTCGTGACCATAATTCAATCTCCTTTTATCATTGTTGGATTTCATGTATGGTTATTGTTATTCACTAAACATACCTAGATCAACAGGCCTCAGTGTTATATGTTTATGCTACACTAGAAACCCTGCTTCCAGTTTTTTGTGTTTGGAACAACACTGCCTGAATACTCAGTAACCAGCTCAATCCTGTGATGTATTTCACAAATCAGGTTTCTCTCTCCCAATGTCTTTTATTATTCAGTCTGGCTCCGTTTTAAAGATCGTAAAGGATAGCTATCAAGTTGATTTGACTAGAAACCTAGCAGAGCATGACGAATCTTATCTGCATACAGGTTCAAGCATATTTATTCCACCAAAGAAAAAAGAAAAAGAAATTGAATCTGGTTCTCCACCAATTTTCTTGCGGAATCGAATGTCTAAATGATAAGAGGATAAAACTAGCTTACTCACCACTCCTTTCTTGTTTTTTTTGTTTTTTTGTTTTTGCTTTTTTTGGTATTTGACGTCGTTACAATTAAGCAGCGGTCACCACTGAAATTAAGAGTTTAGCATTCTACTAACAAATTACGTGCTTGTTGGCTCCTTTCACTGTTTCCCACCCATCCTTACAGCTTTAAATCTTCATTTTATTGCACACATCATCGACAAAATTTTAACACTCCATAGGCAGAAGCAATGGCAAGAAGAGAGCGATGCAGTGGATGTGGGCTGTACCTGATGGTTCCACCGGAGGCACAAACATTCGTTGTGCTGTGTGCCAAGCCATTACCAATACCATCACCCATTTACAAGTAATGCTCGGCCCAATGGCCATTGGAGTTATGTCCATGACTCATTCCTAGGACCAGGCCGGACCAGGTTCTTTTTAAGTAGTATTTTTATATTATTAGCGTTATGCTTGTTCTTGTTCAGTTAGGTTATTAACAGTGTCCAGTGGTTTGGTTGTGATAGCTATCCTGGTCAGGAACGTATGGAATTCCATATGTGTATGCTCCTCATCAGCGACCTCCGCAGCCACGACCTCCCCTATCTTTTGTTTCAGTGCACGGAAGGAAAAGAGCACTTCTTTGCGGGGTGAATTACCAGGGCAAGAGTTACAGGCTAGGAGGAAGTATCAATGATGTCAAATGTATGAGGTACCTTCTTGTCGAGAAACTGGGGTTTCCAAATGACTCTATTCTCATGCTCACAGGTGCTGTACCAATTTTTTTTCCTTTCAACTCTTTTTCTACTAATCAATTCCATTTTGTTTATGTTAACTCTGCTTCAATTAATCTGCAGAGGAAGAGACAGATCCTTTCAAGATCCCAACGAAACAGAATATCCGAAAAGCCCTGAGATGGCTGGTCTATGGTTGCCAGTCAGGGGACTCGTTAGTGTTTCACTTCTCTGGTCACGGCACGCGGCAGATTGATTATAACCATGATGAGGTCGATGGATACGACGAAGCCTTGTGCCCTCTCGATCATGAGACTGAAGGGAATATAATCGATGATGAAATTAATGACACCATTGTAAGGCCACTGCCCCGAGGAGCCACACTCCATGCAATCATTGATGCTTGCTACAGCGGAACTGTTCTTGATCTGCCTTATGTTTGCAGGATGAACAAGTCAGTTATTTGTAAAATTCCTTTGCATGAGCTATTATTCAATTTTGATCTTCAAATTGTCGAGCTTCATTGATATCCAGTCCATTATTGTCCTATAAACTTCCTGCTTCCAGAATATCCACTTCATTTTTTGTTCTACATTCTGTTTTCAATTATGTAGGGAAGGGTTCTATATATGGGAAGATCAGAGAAACCCCTTATTTTACAAGGGTACAAGCGGAGGAATAGCCATCTGTTTTAGTGCTTGTGATGATAATCAAAACTCTGCAGATACCACTGTGAGTAATCTTTTATCTGATTCATCTAATGATCTGATCAGATATAATCAATTTATAGGTTAAGTTGGCAGAGGGAATTCGAATTTGGAACCTCCTTTTGGAGTTTGAATTGTTAACATTGAAGTTATGCCTTAGCTACAATTAGAAAACATTAGCGAAGAAAGAAGTAGAGGAAAAAACCCTTTAATACATTAAACCTGACTAATACCATTAGCTTAGATTGTTGTTTGAATTGTTTTCTTTAGGCTTTCAGTGGAAACAATACCAGGACTGGTGCCATGACGTTCAGCTTCATCCAAGCTGTGCAAAACGAACCTGGATTGACGTATGGGCGCTTGCTTAATGCAATGAGCAATGCAATTCGTGATGTTAAAGCTGGTTTGCGCCTAACTGGTCCAATTGCAGCTCTCATTAACAAAGTTTTGTTTGGGACAAAACAGGTATTTCTCTATACCTAATGATAACTGAATAAATATCATTGAAAAGTTGAAAAGAATTTTAGTTTGAAAACAAAGAATTCTTGATTTGCAGGAGCCACAGCTATCTACATCAGAGAAATTTGACATCTACTCAAAGCAACTTGTGCTGTAGTAATTTCTGTTCTTACAAAATTGCCTACAACCATTGGCTTTGTAATCAGTAAAACAATTAAAATGATTATAAGTAACCTCTTGCAATAGATCTCATGATTACAAGGAATTTGCCAAGACTTGTAATAAACGGAAGAATTATAGTACCATTTAACGGGTTCATATCCACGTGTACAACTTAGTTATCATCCTGCTGAAGAGTATACTTATTATTGTATTACACAAGATATTCTAGTTTACATCTTCAATTGAGAATCAAAAGCTTGCGAGAACTGGTACACCAGCGAACGTACGAGGCAAGAAGGTTGGGCCAATCGGAGGATGGGCAATATGTGAAGTGGTGAAGCCATAGGGAGAGTACTTGTTCTTGCTCTTCTTGTTCTAGCTTTTCTATGGTCACTTCCAATACCTTCTCTAGCTCACCTCTTTCACTTGTTCTGAGCATTGGCACATCAGTGCCATTGCTAGCTCTGCACAGCAATGGCAACCATGACGTTAGCATGTTCATCTTTGTTTGCCTGCGGCTCTCTTTGTTGCCTTCTTCAGTCATTTCCACTTCGAATCCCATATCCTTGGCTTGTTTGAATAAGAACGCTGCATATTTGAATAATTAAGCAAAAAATAAGGAACAACAATTTTAAATTTTCAATAATTGGAATATATTCAGATTAATAAATAACTGTGGCAATCACAATTTCAACTAGAACCTCCCAATTTCATTCATCAAATTATCACAAACTTTCAATCGGGCCCTTCAATGGAGACCTGCCAATGAATTGGATCATGATCTTTACTGTCATGATTCAACAAATATGTACAATTAGCGTTGGTTGCACTGTGAAATGAAGCAAAATGCCTATTTAGCATTTACATAAATTTAGTAATAATTTGTACTTGTCTTTAGGTTATAAATGTCAAATATGGGAAGCGTTGCATCATCCAAAATACTTTTTCACTGTAAAGCATCTATGGAAGAAATTTTTTGTTTAAGTTTGAATATCAAACTTATAAATTTAAAAATTACTTCTTTTTTATTGTTAATCAAAAATAATTTTTGACCGTAAAAACTATTTTCTAACATCAATAATAGACTAAGCTTTAATGCTGTTTAAATCTAATCCAATTATGTTAAGAATGAAACATGCTCATGTACAGTAATTTAATTCTGATTACACAGTTATGATAATGATATAGAAAAAACAATCAAGTTAAGGGCAAAAGTCGGAGTCATTTCATAATAATTCCTAAGGTGAAATTCTAGGGGGAAAAGACATCACAATTAGGTGGCCACAGGTGAGAAAACGTGGACCGTTGGAACTCAGAAGACTGGTGGGAAGCAGCTAATAAAGACAAACGAAAATATTGGTCATACAACATGAAAAGGATATGCGAATTTGGATAAAATAAACCAATCGCAAGAAAGAAATAAGTCGCTTCTTGCAAGAATGAATATTCTTAAACCTGTCAGCCAACGGAATTGGTGGAGAAGAAGAATGGGAAACATACCTGAAACCTTAACCAGGGACCTTGAAGCCTCGCTCAGTTGAAAGAGAAGCCAAGCCAAATTTGAGGCTGATGCCCACTGGTCAACAGCCTCTTCTACAAACCCACAAGCAGACAACTTCTGCGCCAGCCAAAGCAGCTCAGCAGCCAGTTTCTCAGCTGAATTCCCTGACCGGTTCACATCCTCTCTCCCCCTCCCTACCTTAGTCCAAACTCCACCCCGAACTGATCGAACAGCCCGTAAAACCATGTTCAACCGATATAGAACCGGTCCAGTTCCCGCGCCATCGTGACCGACCCTGTCTTGCCTCAATTCCACCATTGTAGCTTCAAGCTGGCTAAGAGTCCTCGAAAAGGCCGCTGACAAAACTGTACGGTTGACTTCACGTAAAGTTTCGATGCCTTCCATATGGTTCTCTTCTATAAGTCTTTCCGCTAAAGATCGAACGATTTCATACTTTCTTGAGCTAACAGGAATATCATTAACAATAGATAGTATCTGTGAAAGCGCACGAGCGATTCCCAAGTCGCCAACCCCACAAGCAGTGACGCAGCCATCTTTTTTCTGGGGCTTAAACATGTGTGAATTACAAGGGAAAATAGGAGGAAGCAAGCGTAGAGAGAAGAGAAAAGAAGTGATGACAACATAGCGAATTGTTTGAAGTAGCTTGTATTTTTCTGCAAAGTTGAAGAGGGTTTTGTCGGCATAAATAAACATAGAAGTTACCATGTTTCGGGGGAGTAAAGGGGTATGGTAGTTGGCAAGTTCTCCATCATGCCCATGCTTTCGTTTGCCTTTTTCTTTTCTTGGCTTATGGTTTGTTTGTATTGTAAGAAAGGAAACGATGGAATTTTGAGAGAGGTTAAGAAATGTTTATTTGGAGTATGGATTGGACATAGGCGGACAGCCAAATCAGTCTATATTTTGATTTTTTCTGATTTTGATAGGGACAGTGTTTTAAAGTCAGGGATTGGGTGGATCCAAAGCGGGGTGGATACATTATAAAAAATTTGAGATAGAACAGGCTATAAGATATTTTATTTAAATTCATATATAAAATAATTTTATGTACATATATATATATATATATCTAATAAAATTATTTGTAATATATTAATTTAATAAAATATTATATTTTAAAAAGTTAAAATATAATTTATATTAAAAAAATACTTTTTTATAAATTTATATTAAATTAAAATTATTAAATTAATTTCAAATTGATTACATATTAAATATGAATTATTTATGTCAAATCAAAATCAAATATAAAAAATAAAACATTGTTGAGTCAGATCAAAATCGAAGAGAAAGAAATTATCCCAATCCAAACATTATTATCCTAAAAAATACATGCAAAATTTTTAAAATGGTAAAATTGATATGAATTCAAGAATCCATATTAATAGACTCATGATCCAATCTGAATTGATTTGGATTGATTAAAACATTATTTTATATATATATATGCACTTTATAAATATTGAAAAAAAATGAGATTTTTAATAATATCTTATTTATTATAATTAAAAAAATAGAGCCCAACTCGAGATATTTTAAATAATTTTTAAAACCTCCTCATAGCTATTGAAACGAGACATATCAACAAATTATTTGTTAGACAAAGACGTAAGTACAGCAGGGGAGTATGCCAAGCAAAAAAAATGGAGCACCCTATAAACAGCGAGCTTTATTTTTATTTTCCCTTTTATCCAAAGGGCTGACATTGCGCGAGGATTCTGCATGTATCTTCCTTCAATGTTTGTCATATTTGTTAGACAAGATGTAAGGAGAGCAGGGGAAAATCAACTAATCAGTTTTCTTAGTCTTCTTTCTGCAAGGCTAGCCACTTTATTTTGTGGCTCTAGAACCAGAGCGTGTTTGAAATCTGCTGATGCCAAAACAATAAACTGCTTAATAGGCATAATATTGCACGCATAAATTATAAGAAGCAAATAGATCGTGGCCGGTAAAAAAAAAAACTCTCATCAGAATGAGGGAGTAAAAGGATTACAGAGTGAAATATGTATCCATTAAGTTCATCTCTCTCAAACTCTGACAGATTCCAACACCGTATGGACTATGTAGTTTGGTCTGCACGCATGCATGTTCCCTACTATGTAATATCAGGAAAAACTATTTGCTGAACTTACCAGAGCATTTATTCCCTATGTATGTTAGTACTAATGTTCCTAAACCCCACATCAAGTAGGAAACCCAGCATGTAAAGAATGGACCAACCAATATGACAAAGGACAAGTATTATCACTATGTAGCCTAACTGACCACCGTCATCCAAAAGTTCTAAAAGTTCAAACATCAGATACCATCGGTATGATGAAAGGGAAGGGGCAGGAAAGAAAAAAGGGGGAAAAATAAAAAAGCTTCATATACTACCAGTGTGGATTTAGGAATTTATACTACTTTTAATCTGTTATAGTTGCCATCAAAAGATATTTTAAAAAAAAAAAGAGCTGCAAATGCATAATTAGTTGTGTTTGTCAATAATTTTAGCTAGCTGGGTGGAAATGAGTGTCATATCACATGTGAGGCATAATAAGCACTACAAAAGTATTCTCACCTTCAAGAGCCTCTTTATAACAGAGTAGTGATTCTCTGGCAGTCCCACGTCTCAGATATGCCTTCACATTCTGCACAAAAATATTAGTTGATTAATAACATCACTGGAGCATAACTGCTCTTTTTAATCATGTGTGCATACACATTTTAAATTCCACTATTTAAACTGTCAAAGAAGAGCTACTTCATCAAAGAACATCGTAGTTACCATCACATGTTTCCTAAATTACCTTTTTGTCAAGTGATATTGCCTTACTGCAATCTTCTTCAGCTTGTTGGAAGCTGCATATTCTAGAATCAGTTCCCCTAGGAAGTATGTGGATGCAAAACAATGCAATGAAAAGAATGGCAACAAATCTAAGAGATACTATACCATCCTAGTTCCAAGTAAGCTGCTGCCCGGTTGTTATAGTATGTTGCATTTGTCCCATTGAACTTAATAGCTTCACTATAGTACTTGACAGCCTTATTCCATTGCATTCCCTTGAATGCAGCATTTCCCTGATTCAAAACTTGTCAAGAAAAACTTATAATGGCAGACCTTTTTTCTTCACTTATTGTTTACTTTCTGTAAATTTTCATAAAAAATCAAGTGCAACCTCACACCAAACCAGCATTTTAATTGCTTCAGACAACTTATCCATAAGAAATGAATGTTAGACCTCAAATTATCACAAGTGCTAATGAATGTTAGACAGTGAGACTAAAAGTGATCTCTATGGCATTTAACGCAGAAAGCACTACGATAAGATCTAAATAATCAAGTGCCAATGCTTATGACTAAAGTTTCCCATATATGAACTTAAAAAACATAACATACTTTATGCACACGAGAGGCTGGATGCTAGTTCTTAGAAGTGTTGCAACAACAACATCAACAACAACAATAACAAACTAAGTCTTATATCCCATAACTTTGGGATAGGCAGTATGGAAGGCCAAAACAGGAATCATGTTAAGTTGTAGTTTTGAATCTTCTTGCGCCACTCATTTCTATAAAAAACAGCCTTTTCATCTACTTCCTTAGTCCTCATATCATTTTTTATTACTTGCATTCACGTCTTTCATGGTCTACCTCTAGAAGTTTTGGTCTCTCCTAAATCTAGAATTTTCTTAGAAAATGAGAGACCAAAATAAGAGTTTTCTTAGAAGTGTTGCAAACTTTAACAAAAAAAAGGTAGAAGTTCAGCAAGTAAAGAGAAAATGCAGTTAACCATCATTTCTTTACAGGTTCAAGGACTCATCTATCCCCACTAAAAAGAAGGCAATCTTCCTACTATTACTTGTCAAGTGTATGTATGTAAAAACTATCAAATAATATACCATAAGCTCTGTTTGAGAGCACGAATGGAACCAGCAAAAAATTGGGGGCCAGGGCAGTAGGGAGACCCTCCCACTGCGGTACCCTGTGCTCCCAACTGGGCAATTAGTAAGCTACTTATGACCAGAAAAGAATACAACCAGACAAACTAAAACTTCTTTTTGGATGATTCGTAACTGAAAAGGTGGAAACTGACAAGTCCCATCAACAGAAGGATCAAATTTCAAATCTATTACATCACTTGCATTGGTAGAAATTTTGTAAGGCAAATCAAACCAGTAAGATATTGAAAGATATTAGAGGCGGGCAAACCTTTTCCTTCAAGAGTTCGGAAGCATCCATAATACCATTGACATCAGGCAATGGTGCTGAATTGGATGCAATACTGACTTGGTCTTGCAGAGATGTGTACATATCCAAAACAGTATCAAGAAGAAATTTATCCGCTCCATGGTATGTGATAAATGAAACAGACACAGGAAAACCTTCATCCTTTCCTAATGGAACAGAAACCTGGGAGGAGATTGTAAGGTTAAACAAATGACTGATGTCCATGCTACAAAAGAACACGCGAGAATGAAAAATTAAGCCTGGTAACATCAAGCCACCTGACAGCCCCCAGACATGCTAGCAATGCTCAATAATGCAAATGCTCTATCGCGAAACTCATTGGAATACCATTTCTTTGAATTCAGCTTTAGTGGAGGATCTGCAATTGTGGGAATCACTAATATTCCATCATCCTGAAACAAAAAATATAACTCAGTGATGTGAGATCATTCACTACCAGTTCATACCTATTATCCTTAAACATAGCATTTCAAGACAAGCATCTGAAATCCAAGAGATTTTCGGAACCATAAAAGTAAACCCCAAATTCATCAGAGATATCTACCTACGTAGATGCTGTTAATATACATCAGACATTTAACATTTAAAAAAAAAAAAATTCTAATTCTCGCAATCTTCCATAATATATGCTTCTGGTCTTTTCTATCATTTCATCTATTGCAACAACCCTAAAACATCATGAATCCTTCCGATGTTAGACACTCAGAAAATTTTCAGAAACGCAAGTTAGCATACAGAAATTTAACTTTCTAACTAAAACCTGGAAATCATAGTTAATAGGCCAACTGCCAAATACCGCCTTTTTTTGCACTTCCCATGTCATTTAACAAGATAGACAGCAATTATTACCCATGTTTTATTTATACATTTAAACTATCAAAAAAATTTACTATAAAAAAAATGAGTTGATCTTACATTCACCTTTGAAATGTGGTTAGCCTGGGTGTTTCTAGAATCCAAAAACCTATAAGCATGTCTCAGATACACAATAGCTAAAGAGATCAATGAGTTTAATAATTTAGCTCGGAAGTATAGGACATTAGACCTCCAGTAACATCTGCAATCCTCTCAATTTAAAAAACCTGAAGTTGGTAACTTTTCTCTTTGCATTATAAGGGTCTCTCAAGAAAATATTTAAGTTAATGACGTGTCAAACAACAAAAAAATAGATTCACAACCTTTCAATACTGTCAACATTTGTTGCTTGTTTCAGATTCCTAAAAGCACCATCTTAAGTTTAAGTTGCTAATAAGATACAAATTGCTCCTCTCTGATTAAAACCGAAGCGTAGACCTATGGTGTCATTTATTGCAAGGCAAGATCATTCTATCAAGTTGTCATAGTAGCAACAATATTCTCGCAGTAAACAGGGCAACAACGTCATTTGTATATGGTAGACGTTCTTATAGAAAATAAATAACAGTAAATAGCTATAACAAAGGAGAACAACAACTTCATTAGGAAAGAGGAGAAGAAGCTGGCAAACCTTTAGAAGACTTTGCAGAGCAGCTCTCATCTCAGCCTTGACTTTGTATAAAGTTTTCACATTCTCATATGTAGTGTTGATTGCTGCAAGAACACAATGATAGATCTCAGGCCCTTGTCTTGGTTTGACATCTTTAACCCATTCTTCATGGTTTGTTTTGAACTCATATCTGGAAAGCAATACTACTAGATATTAGGAGAGCTGGTCAGTAAAAAAAAAAACAAGAAATAAAAATTTAGCACAATAATAATGACAATATACAGATCGAGGGATGGACACCTGCATGTAAACAACACATTATTCTCAAATACCTTTGTAATGATACCATCACTGATGAAAGAGCTTTCAAAGTAGAAATTCCATTTGGCATGTTTGTGGAATGCTGACAAAAACCTTTTAGACTGGGTACATTTGAAGCAATATACTGAGCAAAATTGATATGTTTTGGAGGCTGGTCTGTGCAATCAACAAGAGTTAGAAGGGTCAAGAATTAAATTCACACCATCCTAACAGAAGTGGTAGTATAGACTAGGATCATGATTTTCAGACCAAAAATATACAACTGATATGAATAGAAATTGAAGGCCCTGCAACTTACAGCCAGAAAGCTTTTCAATTGCTTTGCCAACAACATACACTGTCTTTTGCTTGGGAACCTTTGAGAGCTGGAATAGATCATCGGCAAACACAAGGCGTCTTGCCTTCCTAGGTTCCACTGCTTTTAGTTGAAGCAAAACATGCCCAACACGATGTAAAATAGATGGATCACGAGCAAACCATCCTGAGACATCATCATTTGACAAAATGAATAGAAAACAACCATGAACAGCAGCAAAAGAAATTTTGAAGAAGGAAATGTGAACTCCCCAGAATTTTAATGCTCAGCAAGAAATCAGAAGCTTAAATGTCCATTAAATCGCTAATTGTTTGAACTAGACATCCTTATAATAGAAATGCAATAACATGTGGCACAAACCTAGAGGGCACAATTGTCTGCTCCATTTATGGAGATCGCATCCATTCACTAATAAACCATGCATTCAGTCACACGACACTTTAGTTAACAGAAAAACGTAGGTGAAGACAACCAATTGGCAGAATTATAACTCAGAATAGCTTGAAGAAAATTTTTTTGGATAAATGAAATTTTTATTTATCAAAGAAGCAGGGAATAAGAACCTGCTGTCAAAGATCTAACAGCTATTATCTGCATTCTGCATAGAAATCCAACAAATCTCTCAACAATCTAGATAACAAGGCCTCGTTGCAAATTAAAGCATAAGACAAATCACAATTTTTCTTTACAATACCAATAGCATCCAAACTTTGAGAATTAGGAAGAAGTCCAATCGTAGATACAGCTCCATGAGATGGGCGGAACCCAAGAATACCACAGAATGAGGCCGGAATTCTCACGCAGCCAATTGTATCAGTACCTACAAAATAGTGAAAGAGCCTTCTATGCTCAGATAACACTGAGAAAACAACCTGTATATCAAAAAGATTCAGCAAGAAGAATCTGCAGAAACCCTTTCTGGGTGGAAATGGAAAATACAAGGTATGACATTCCAAGCTAGGAACTAATTAATCATGAAAAAGACAAAAGAAAAAAAAATAATAAACAGGGAAAAGTTGTCTGGAGTTGACTATTGAGAAATGTAAAGGACTGAACTTACCGAGAGCAAAGTCCACAAGTTTAGCTGCAACTGCCACAGCAGAACCACTTGACGAACCTCCTGGAACATTTGACGGCATGTTTGGATTTATAGGTGTTCCATAATGCTTATTTTCCCCCGTTATTCTAACAATTGAAAAAAAAAAACAAAACTTTTACTAATCACATTTGGCTAATTCTAGCCAAAAAATTACATTTGGCAAATACCCATCTTCCTAGACAGGGTAAAAAAGACAAATAGAAGGTTACCCAAAAGCCAGTTCGTCCATAACTGTCTTGCCGACACATTTAGCCCCGTTTTTTAACAAAGCAGTAACCACCACCGCTGTCTTATCAGCTGGCTCGTGTGTTCTCTGCCAATCGGGATTCCCAAAACCCGTTACGTGACCCTTCACATCAAATCTGTTACAAAAAAATAAATAAATAAATAATGCAAAAAAATAAATAAATAAAGGGAAGTATAAGTAGGGGAAAGAAAGTTGTGGAATTACGAACATGTCTTTGATTGCAAACGTAAGACCCGATAGTGGAAGTTTGGCGGCGGGAGGTGGCGGCTGAGGGAAAGGAAGCAACTCGAAGCGTTCCAAAAAAGCGCCGAAATCTTCCCTTTTGATGATCATCGCTTTCCTCCTTCTTCTACTGGTCTCCGCCAGAACTATGATTCCGGCCACTGTTATTCCCGCCACGATCCAAAAAGTGTGTTTGGAAGCGTTGGTTTTTATTAGCTTCAGCGTTTTTGACATGATTGGATTCGGAGAGACAGAGAGGGGGAAAAAAAAAGTTGATGCGAAGACAAAAAGAGGGCTAAACAGGTTTTGGAAGGGTTTAAAGTTTTGATGAGAGAAATTGGAAGATGTGCCGTGCCCAGGGGTAAATTGGAATATTCATATCACTTGTTGATTTTATTGTGGACGGTTCTAAACACGTCACAAAATCCTTTTTATACACCTTTGAAATTTTTTTTCAAAATATCCACGTAGTAAATATCAACTTTAACTTCTAATAAATAACAAAAATATTCTCCATAGTTTATACAACTCTTTGTTAAAATCTGTAAATTATGTAATTCTCAAAAAAATTTCAAGAATTATATTATAATCTTTCAAAACAAATTTTAAAAAAAACATAATATAAGTTTTAAAAATTTATTTTTGATAATGTAATTTAATTAAATTATTTTTACAAGGTGCTCACGCTAAAACTAGCATCCATGCATATCTATTTTGAAGACAAGTTCTTAAAAATGTAAGGCAAAAAGATGTTTTTGGTTTTCTAAACTCTCAAGACAAGAACATCTTTTTTTCATACATGCTCAAGAACTACTATATTTCTTTTATTTGCACACGTGATCATATATTTTTAATTAAGTCATTCTTAAATGTTTCTAAAAATGAATTTTTGAGAAGCTAAAAGAATTCTTGGATATTTATTTTCAAAAAGCCTTAAAATTTCTCAGAGGTCTATTTTCGAGAAGTTTAATTTTACCTAAATTCTACTACAAATCCTAACTGTTCGTGCCAAGCTCTAACCTCGAGAAGTTCTTGGAAAAACAAAAAAGAAGAAAAAGACGGTTGAGGTAAAGACATAAGGTGTTTCTTGCATTCACACTCCAATATGCAAGTTGAAAAAAGTAAGGTCGAAAAGAAAAAGAATTAGAAATAAGAGAAAGGGAGTTGAATGAACTTGCTTTAATGGTGCTTGGACCTTCAATTTATAAATAAGTTATAGGGGATCATCAGGGGACAATAAGGATAATGTCGAGCTAATATGACACTGAGCATGTCTGATCGATTTGATATGTTAGGTTGGTACAAATAATGAAAATACCCATAGTTGTCAGCTAGAGGCTTCATAGAAAGAAAAGATCATTATACCCTTTTAACCATCAAATACCTCTAAACTCTATCCCCTCATTTAGCAGTCTGAGTATCAAATTGCTAAATGTATGATCACGCCCCTAGTGTAAGCCAAATAGGCAAAAAAAGATGATTTGGAAGTTCAATTTTTCAAAGTTGACATTATAAAAGGGAGGTCGATTTTAGGGGATGATTGGCCTTAAGCTACGGTCTGACCTGGTGGTTGTCTAATTTATGTGTGTATCTTGGGTTGAATGTATAGCTGGCTTAAAGATTGTTGAGGTGATAATTGTTTGGAATTATTCGAGGTTAGTGTCGGAGTTCATCTGACTTTCGTGAAACTTGTATTTTATTTAAAAAACTTGGATTTGAGCCTCTACTTTAAACTTTTATGGTGAATCGGGCTTTCAGTTCACCCTGGAGAGTCATTTGGTTTAACTGGTTCAATCTGATATTCGTTCAATTAGACCGATTTGATAGCATTAAATAAGGATAGAGGTATTTTGAGTAGAAAATTTTAAAATGGGAAAATAAAAAGACATCTTTTCACTTTTGCTTCGATATATGGCATAGCTTGTGTCGTTTATCTGATTTGTGACAAGTCTATATAAAAAGCCATTAGGGCTTTAATTTTTCACCTTTCTATTTTCTTTGCTCTCAATCCGACCTAAACTTTTCAATGTTAAAAGCTTTCTGACCTTTAAAGTTTTTCTATACCTTCTTCGATATGTATTTTTCACAATGTCTTTTAGTATGAGTTCTGGGAAGGCCGAAAGTTACTGGTAAAACTTAGGGGAGGTCAGCGCAAGTAGCAAGATGATGATCTGATCCCAACAATTATCAAGAGCAGTAATTATGAGATGATAACCTATTGGTTCAATTCGATGTCCAATAAAGGCAACGACAAAATGAAGAGAATGCTCAAGCAAAAAAAAAAATGGGTCCTAAACACAGAAGAGCTATGTGCTCAGATTAACTTCAACCTACAAAATCCACCATCTTTTTCTATCTCTTAAGTTAGTCCATCTTCTTTTGCTCTCTCTTGTCGATGCTCATATTGTCACTTCTATTCTCCCTTAATCAATTTTTGTTAAGATCTCTTCCTCTCCTAAGGGGTCTTCACCTCATCTTTCTTCTTCTAAGATGGAGTTACTCTTAGCCACTATTTTACCTCAAAATTTTGCTCATACTCAAGAGTCAGAGTCTTTTAGCTATAAAGATCGTGACGAGGAAGGTTCTGAAGAAGAACAAAAGAAAAGGAATACCTCGATCAAGAAAAATGACGATAGGGAAAAAAACTTTATAGCGCAAGATAAACTAGTCGAAATCCCCGTATATACTTCTTATGACTTCAGCATGATCCTCAAATATATGATGAGCAAACTAAAAGGCAAACTTATTACATTCGTGCTCTAGCTACTACTTTTTTTTTCAGAGAGTGGTACAGTATAATAATACTAATCTCTTTAGATTGGGTCATTGATTGATTGGAGCCACATTGGCCCTATGTGTATTGGGATTCCTTCATGATCGGTCTGAGGTTCTTACTTTATCCTTGATTTATTTTAATTTTTAATTCTTACAATTTGACTATCATTCAGTTCACTCTTAACTCTATACGATACATAGTTGCTTTCATCATTCTTTGTTAACATTTAAATATTCTTTTTATCTCCCTCTATTCAGAGAGTTTTTTTTTTTTTAAAAGTATCATAACGATAGTAAGTGATACTATATAATAGCTCGATCCAATAAGAAATTACTTACCGATTGTTTAAGCTCAATAAAAAATTGAAAGCTTTTTTTTTGTCTCGAGAAGCAAAAAATAAATAAAAATGGTGAGCCCAGGGTTGAGATTGCTTTCGAGGTTAAGGCATAAAAAATAAGGAGTATGCCTTACACTTTTGTGGATGTACCGATGACTCTCCGTCCTGAATATATCAGATCATGATAAAATTTTGAAATATACCTGTAAGGGGGAGGTCATCATCGATGCCCATAAGCTGTCCTCATTAAAAGTAATAAACGAGATGAAATATTGATGTAGATTTAAGGTAACCTCATAAGATTTTACTTTAACTTGATTTTTATTTAACTGTTAGCTTGATTTTATAGATATGGCTAGCAATGATGATTTTGACTTCAGACTGTACCAATATACCCCCAAGCCTAATAAAGGCCAAAAAAAAATTTAATTTACGATCCCATCTCGCAAGGGAGACAAGGTGGTTAATACCTTATTGCATCATTCTCTCGCAAGCTTAAAAACAAAAGCTAGAGTTGATTGAGACCTATCCTACCAAAAAGCCATGGGTTAAGGCCTTTCTTCTACCTTAGAAAACCCTAAGGTTAGGGTCTTAAAGTCAAGCTCAGAGAAGATTTCCACCCACTTTGAGTACACTCCTACTAATGACCCAGTCACCAATCTGGTCGTGGTAAGGAGATTTAACAAAGTCATGATCCTTTATCTTGATAAGCATTGACTAACTTTAGCTCAATTTTATCAGTATTATTTATTTTGCTAAGTCTGAGGTCATTTTGCACAGTCTAACAAAAATTTTTCCTTTAACCCCTAAAGAACACTAGTGAAGCCTTCCACTATACCTACCTTGCAATGGCCCATGTATTGAGGGTAAAAAAGGACATGGCTACCTTGGTGAATAGCATAAGAAGAGCTCAATCGAGCTAGGCAATGTTTCATTTAACCTTAATGCGTCTCACAAAAAAAATTAAGCAAAAGAAAAAAAAATTGATGAGCTGACAATGAAGCTGGAAGCCATCCTGATTGACAAAGAATTAACTAACTTAATAAAAGAACAAGCCAAGTTCAAGCTCAATGACGCTTAAATTGAGATATCAAATATCATATCCGAGCTCGAGACCAGGGGAAAAAGAGATAAAAACCTAAAAAATAAGACAATGAAAGAGTTCAAGGCTTCAATGAATGCCTTCAGATAAAGGTGAAGTTATCCAAGAAGAACATGCCCGGTGCCTTCTAGCTGGCCAAAGACGAGATGTAATTTAAATTCTTGGCCCTCAACCTTGACATCTTTTATATTAATATCAATAATATCAAATCGAAGCCTTGTCCAAATTAGCTCGAGAAGGATGAAGATGAAGAAGATAAGGATAAGGCCTTGGAGATCGAGCTGAATGAGGTCGAGAAGGGTGAGGTCATCACTGCTGCTCCTATTGATGAGGATATTACTCTCATTGTTACTACTGTTGCTATCGATGTTACTGATGAATGATATTTTTAACTTTTTATTTTTTATTTTTGTAAATTTTTTGTTAATATATGAGGTTAATTTTTTGTAATAACCTTAGGTACGAATGATTTGCTTGACATCATTTATTGACAATAGTTAATCAATACAACTTCTTGTTCAAATCAATTTAAACTTAAGCTCAGCTCAGCTTAGCTCAGCTTTATTATCATATTTTTTTCTTTATTCACACAAGTTTTAGCACAGTTAATCAAAGAAATTTTAACCTGATTAATTGAGTTGAGGATTTACATAATCTGTTAGATTAAATTAACTTGAGAATCCATCAAAGTTTTAGGTCAAATTTTGTTAGATCGATAAATATAAGCTCGTTAAACATAATTTAATTTTTGTATTTGATTACAAAATACAAGTGTGAGTTCGATTTAGACCGAGCTATTGATAATATACCTTTAAATTATCTATGTTCTATGTCCTTAGGATGACGTCGCCATTCAGGTCCTGTAGTTTGTAGGTCTCATCATAGACGATCTTTTTAACAATATATGGTCCTTCCTAAGTCAAAGCTAATTTTTTACCTCGGTCATTTACTTCTGAGGCTTTTACTTTTTTAAGTACCAGGTCATCTTTTTTTATATGCTTACGTCTGACCCTTTTATTATAATAATTGATCATTTTTTGTTGATAAGCTACTATCCATGTTAAGGCTATGTCCCTTTATTCTTTGACAAGGTCGAGGTCGGCTTTAAGTGCTTTTTCATTTTTTTTTACTTTAATTCAACTCTTAAGCTCAAAAAGTTGATCTTAACAAGTATCACAACATCTA